GAATGCAGAGCTACGGGCTTTTTCGTACAGGTAGTACAAACTACTTCAAGGGTTGCCGATTAGGGTGGTATGCTGCTTGCTAGGTGATTCTTGTATATAGCTGGTAATATCAAATTGAACGATGGAGATTTGGTTAATGTACCTTGAGATATGAAAGGAAAATGCACTACAGGTCAAAGCATGTGATGGTTTAGTAGGCTTTTGCAGAATTAGTAAGAACCAATTGATACGTAACACTTTACGTTTATGGGAACAGGACACAAATCTTTATTAACGGGTATATAAGTCTGCGATCCCTTGAGACTGCACATAGAAAACAATCAGTGTCTGTGCTTCTGCTTTTGATTTGTAGTCGGCTGACATACATTATCCTGGTTGTACAAGCGGACAACTTTGCAGTAAACAAGCAGAAAAGAAGAGTCACAGAGATTGTTGGAGTAAAGTATGTGTTGGTGTGGAACTGGTCTGAGGACGTTGCGTTCACAGTTTTGCCCAGCTGAGTGAAGCGTAACGACCAGGCTGCAAAATTTTTGTAATAATAGTGGCATGTCACTGATTAAACAGGCACCTGACGATGATTGAGCGCAGATATATGTACCGTAATTGTGTAATGTGCCATCGGTTAGTTTGTCAATAGGTAGTATGAAGTGGAGCATTTATTGGTTGCTGAGTCCAACCTGCAACGTCACCGTGACCTATTCTAGGCAGAACGCTTGCCGGGCAAAACCCTCCACCTCCTGGAACATTGCCGGTGAACAAGGCTTGACCAATTGTACGCCATTGTCGGGGCTGATACCTACCGACCGTTCCTGCGGTTATCGCAGTCCTATTACTATAATTTATTCCCTTTCGTCGGAGCGGACCGCGAGTTATTGGAGCTGGCGCTTTCAGACGATTCGGTTGACTGATATTTGGTAAAATGGTTCGCCGAATTTCATTACTGGATTGGAATTCCGAAGTATGGAAGAGTTGTATGAGCTGGGTTAAAACCGTGGCCAGGTGGGCACGACAGGCAAGTGCCCAGCTAGCACATGAAGTCCTTTTTTCGGTCGTCAAAGTCCTTCAAAAGTCCTTCAAAATCCTTCAGTAATTTATTGGTGGCTACTTGATCTACTCCGCAGTTCAGCAAGGGGTGCGCATATGTGTGTAGGTTACGTTAACTGATAAATAATGATAACATTGTTTACCCGCTTTATTCTGTCGAAGAGTCGTACGTGATTTCTTAGAAAGGATCATCTTCCCTCCTTTTGAATTTTGCCGCGCTTTTAAATTTTCAGGTACCGCTGGCATTGCTCTGTTTGGTTACCAATCCTGCTTCCCCGTAGTGCGCTTCTTTTTTCGTTGTGCATTTTCGATAGTTGATAAACAAGTTTGAGTTGGTAAGAAGCCGTTTCGACGTGTGTTAGATATAAGAAGCACCGTAAGTGTTTTGGTTATAATATTGCAATCATAATTTGTTTACCTTGGTATTATTTCCCAAGCGTTGCCGTTGCTTTGCCCTATAGGGCACCTATAGGTGCTATCGCCATAACGCAGAGTTTGCGCACTGTTATCTTCACTTGCGCAATTACTCCTGCTCTACATAGGTAGCTTCACTGTGAGGTTCTGTTCTCTTTTGCAGGGCGCATTCGCTTAGTAATATCGGTGGCGACATTGCTGGACGTTTCCGTGTTTTCACTCATCCGGGTCCTTTTAAATGTACGTGGGCACGTTAAACGTAACGTTTTATGTTCAGCATTATTAATGAGACCTCGGTGTACAAACCGACAATGGGCTTTCATGCTGCCCAGTGACCGCACTTTGCGGGATCGATATTTGCGCGCGAAAAGGCGTCTCGGACAAATTGATCAAAGGGTTTGTTCTGTGGAGCGTACAGAAAATGAGATCTCAACGCGTACAATATGTGAACCGTTGCCATACACCGGTAAGTTCTAATCTCCCTATGTTATTGCTCGTTACCTCATATAAGAAGCAACAGGGCGTTTGTGCACAAATGACATGCAGTTACAAGGAAGCCTGCAGAATGCGGTAGCGCAGCGGAGTACAATGGCAGTGCCAACCATTGCTAGTGGTGTATTGGTTTCATCATCAGAATTGGAAGCGGAGCAATCACTTAGCTGCAGGGACGCGGATCGCATTGCCACCACTGATGTCATGGAAGACTTAAGACAATGGGTGCGAAGCACACGACCCAGCATTTCTTCCGTGAACAAGTTGCTTGCGGCCCTTCGCAGGAGCATGCCTTGGATACCGAAAGATTACCGAACGCTTATGAGAACTCCAAGGAATGTGCAGACCATTAGCATTGGTGCCGGTGCATATGGACACATTGGGCTGCTGCGTGGTCTACGCAGTATTTACCAGGATGGTGACATACAGCCGCCGGAAAGGGTTGTTGTCCAGCTGCACATAGATGCTTTCACCCCGTTCAACTCCTCGAAAATGCAGATCTGGCCGATTCAGTGTCGATCTATTTACCCCGTGAAGTCAAAACCATTTGTTGTCGGTGTTTACGGTGGTCCTGAGAAACCCGATGTGAATGAATTTCTAACTCCCCTGATACGTGATTTGCAGGTGCTGCTGTCAACGGGTTTCACGCTTGCTGCATGCTCCAGGCCCATATCTGTTGAATTAGGGGCTGTTATATGTGACGCGCCTGCTCGAGCATATGTGAAGAGGACCAAGGGGCACTCAGGGTACAGCAGTTGCGGCAAATGCATTCAGAAAGGTACTTATGTCAACCGGAAGGTTACCTTCCCATCTACTACATGCCGCCTTAGGTCACATAAATCGGTTATGAAAAGGAAGCGATCTTTGATGTCCCCTTTTGAATACCTCGGTATTGATATGGTTTCGAAATTTCCCATTGACTACATGCATTGCGTGTGCTTAGGAGTGGTGCGACGCATAATCGGTTTATGGATAGAGGCACCGACATGGAAGAAATTAAAATTGCCTAATGATACATTGCGTGCAATAGATCACTTATTGCTACAAAATACGACTGCATGGCCATGTGATTTCCCTAGGCGTTGCAGAGGTATATCTATGTTTAAAGGTTGGAAAGCCGTTGAATTTAGGCAGTTTGTTTTATACGCCGCGCCTGCAATGTTGATAAACGTGCTACCGGGAGATTATTACGACAACTTTTTACACCTTCATCTGGGAATATACATCTTCTGTCACCCGCTGTTGCATAGGCATTACTGGTCTTTCGCGAAACGGTTGCTGCTTAATTTCATACACGGGTACTACCGCCTGTACGGGAAAGACCAGATGACGTACAATGTTCACTGCCTAAGTCACCTAGCATTGGATGTGGATGTGCATGGAACCCTTGATGATTTCTCCGCATTTCCATTCGAGTCTTATATAGGCGTCCTGAAGCGAGTAGTGCGAAACGCACGAAATCCCGCGGCGCAGATTGTGAGACGGTGCTTGGAATATGCGGACGTCTCCAATTTCTCGCATTGGCCTGAATCTCAGCTTACTCGCATACAACATCGTGCATTAACACGTCGTGAACTGTTGATACTGGATGGTACAACGTACGCATGCAGCGCACCTGATAACGTGATCATCGTATCTGATTACCCGTATTGCATTGTCCGGTTTGACCATATGGGCTCAGAATGTGAGACCATTGTTTGTAAACCTTTCACAGGCGTGCATGCGTTGTACCATCTCCGGATACCTTCTTCCGTTTGCAACATATTTGCAGCCTCAGGCATCAGCGATGATCTCCAATCATTCCGTGTGGGTGATATACTTTGCAAATGTGTGTGCTTCTCTGTTAATGACTTCTTAGCTATTGTTCCCCTGTTGCACACCTTTAGAACTCCGGATGGTAATACGTGAAGCATTGTGCATGTTCAGGGTCCCTAAATGTTCATTTTCACTTTGATCTACTTGTGTTTTTCATTCATTTCCTGACTATTTATTTTAATGGCTATGCTTATTTTTTATTTCCTTGGACTGATTTTTTAATTTCTTATTTACCTGATGACTGGGGATTCTTTCTCAACGGGTTGCACTTATCCTGTTATACGAGGTCCCTTAATACCTCTTCATGGAGTATGATCGCGGGGCGTCCATCAGACACATGTATTCACTTCACCTAATGAGGGACAGTACATCCTCATACGGTGGTTCCATATCAATACTGTTTTGGGCAAGCGTGGCTGATGCGGTACGAAGCAACATTGGAACGGGGTACAAGATCGTAACTGTATTCGGCCGATAGGCATATGAAGGGCTGTTAACAGAGTGAATACGTCTATGTGCAGCAGAATGGCAAACCACAGGGCGCTGAATGCACTCTTACTGGCAAAGATCTGCGTTGGCAAGCACTCGACAAACGATGTAAAACAATATGAACAACATGGAATGGCCTTTACCAGCACCGACGCAGGTAACATGCTCATTATCTTACACATGTTGACAGGTTTTCAATGGCGATGCATTCAACGGCACACCTTTTCAGGAGACAGCACGGGTGTTTCGGAGTGGGGGTTCATGTACAGACAATATTTATTAATTAAAAGTTTCGTTGCTATTACATTGTTCTCGTAATCAGTGTTTGTGCAAACGGACTTGCATAAGTCATCTATTTCAGCGTTATGGCTTCGTTAACATATTGCGTCGTTTCCCTGAGCACGTCCACCGGATGCTCGGTTACAACCATAAGCAGCTCTTGGCTGCTTGGGGACGGTCGGCAGGCGTTGCTACCAAACGTCCCCCTTCGGAATACCTTAACGCTGTGAGGGAACACCGGCCGGCGGACGAGAACTGTACGTTGGCCCGTGTGACTATACTTCGGCGAACCAGTAAGTTCTGTGCTGTCATAAGTCTTCAGTGGATTTCGATCAGGCTGCTGCAATAGCGAACTCCGTCGACCTTTCGAACCTGCCGGAAGACACGGATTCAACACTCGACATGGGCACACCCCCACGTAGACTCATGTGAGTTGCCACATCTATATAACATTTCATCACAGCCGTATGCCACGTCGTTTGATTTCGGACGACGATGACTTTGAGCCACCCAGGAAGCGCATGGTTCCCACAGCCGTTCCATATGGCTCGCCACCTATCTGTTCTTTAACTGAGTTGGCCCGCTCGATGGGTAAAAACCCACGTCAGTGGTCTTCCCAGCAATACAACATGGGTGGATACAAACCAGCTTATACAGGTAAGGGGTACATTTTTCTTAATGTTAAACTACAGCGTTCAATACCGCATCTAACTGTGGTGAAAATTCGAACCCACAGATTCGGAAAACGGCATCGGGTTGGTGCTTACACTTTGTAGCTTGATTGTCCTAGTCCTAGAGTCCACCTCCGACTCCTCCTTCATCACCGTTCCTACAAGCAATTGGAATGGCATTCACCGTAAGCATGTACTTGAGGTTTTACCATTTTCCTGCAGGCGATATGGACCAAATGAAGAATAAACTGGAGTCCATAGATGGTAACTTCCTACATTTCTAAAACAGGGTTTACGTTTGCAGGTAATGTTCAGAAAATTATGGAGACACTGGAGTATGTGAAGAGTTCCATGAGATCGATGGCTGCAACCATTGCCGGGCAACCAGGGCAGCAGGCAACGCAGCTTCCTTTGCCAATTACATCGGTGGAGGAACTGCAGTCGTTCGATATACTAATGCAGGATGCAGGACGCAGGCAACAATTGGTAGGATGCTTTGATACCTCACATATGCATGCAGCATACTTATCTGGAAGGTGTGCATGGAGAAACGTTGTCGGAGACCGTACGCCTCATGATGCAGCGCCTTCTAACGCGGTCATTGATGGCGGAGATCAATTACTCCGGTTCCCGCAACAAACACGGATTCCGGAAAACGAAGCTATTCACCGAAATGCAAGGTAAGCAACATCTTTGCCCTTTCATCCTTGTCCTAGCTGCTCTATTAAAACGTTTCTCCGGAAGCAACGTGTCACCCGATGACGTTACACAATATGTAAGGAAATACTTGAAATCGATTCGTGGCAATGCATGGCGCGACACTCCCAAAGGTTGTGCAAGCAGCCAGCAGGTATGAAATGGTGGATTACTTAATAACATTCCTTACATAAGGTTTCCCAATTGGTGGACTTGGACTGCCCCGGCGACAGCATGGAAGAAGGGTAACGGTTTCAAACGGAACACGGACCTCTGTTATCAATATTGATGTCCTTGCAATTAATGTATCCACTACTATACGTCGGTAAACAGACTTCTTACTGTGAAATGATCGGATTCCATTCCCTCTATCTTTGTGCTCAGTGGGACGGAAATACTAAGGCATCACTATGACTAGTGGGACTGCATGTACCATGCATGTGCGCCATGTTAAACATGGTTTCCTCCATTCAGTGGCAGCAGGCTGTGCACCATGATACCACGCTTTCCCCTGTCATTCATTTTGTTACGCCGCAAGCGAAAATATGTCATAGGAGCGGTTAGCTATGACTCGCACGTTTACCTTGCATTTGTAAGCGGATATGATACTTGCGTTACATAGTATTATTAACGGGAAGCGCAGGTAGGGATTTGAGATCCTCATCCAGCGGTGTGCGAGCTTGGGTGGGTAGCCAATACGTGGGGCGTACCGGGGTAGCGGCTAGGTGCGGCGTACCCGGGTTACCGCCTAGGTGTGTGCGTGCGTATCGTCGTGGTGCGTGCACGGCTATTGGTCCACGCCGTTCAAGGTCAATCGTCAACGACCATTCATGCTCCGCTGGTGTGTCTGTCGTCCACTGTTAAACCTTGATTTATGATTGGACAAGGTGCAAAGTCCTTCACTGTGTACTTAATACAGCTGCAGTGGAAGGACAAATTTCGCCTTCAAAATGGTCGCCAAAGTCCTTAACCATGGATTCATGTTTATAGTTGACGGTTAAGGACTTTACCACACATTTTCGCCTTCAAAGTCCTTTTTGTGCTAGCAGGGTGCTTGGTGTTTCATTTAGGCACCAATAACTTTCGGAAGAAGGAAGGAAACAAGAACAAAACCGCCAAAAACAAAGCTGTCATGAACTAGAAATGCGCAATATCAACCTTGGAACAAATTTACGGAAAACATGATTCCATTGCTAGTATTTCGTTCCAGGTGCCCACAATTAAGTGGGCCGACAGCGTTTCAAAATATTCGGCTGACTTTATATTGAAATTCTTGGCTAATTAGAGCCTTCTTCCAATGAAGACTTGCCCACACACCGTCTTTCGTGACGTTGCTCCACTGTTAACTTTGAGGGAACCGAAGATGGTTGAAGGCGACGATGAATTTCCTGGGTTGCTCGTACAACCTTACAAGTTACATTAAAGAAGCCTGTGAATTAGTGCAAACATGGGCTTTTTGTAAATTATGTGCTGATCCCTTGCGGGCATGGCATACAGCAAGTCTAGGAATATACATCTAGATATGCATTTATTTATACATGGTGTCCAAAAGCAACGTACGGATGGAAAACTCTTATATAGCGATAAAACCTTTCTCATCTCTACCCTTTCCTTTCCTTGTCGTCGTGTCAGATTGCCTTTCTTTAACTAGCGAGTCAACTCTATACCTTGCCTTAATCTAATCTCATCTGACCAGTCTTGCTTTCTGACTGCATCCATACTACCGAGACCTAAATGATCTACGCACTACATATCCTACGTACCGATTCCCTCGCCGCGAGAACTTTGTTGGATTAGCTTACGCTCTATTAGTATAGCTCCTTTTAATCAGTAAAGCTCTCGATTCTGCCCGTGTCATTTCCGTACTGCGCTCTCTGTCTTCATTGTACGCCGATTAATCAAGTATCGCCTGAAAGGTCTTTTACTCTCCGAACTCTCTCAGATCACTGTTACGTTAACGGTTAATGTTTGGTTGACGGATCGCTATATGTGCCTCAGTTTCTCCACCATTTATATTGACCCAGTACTTTCATTATCGCGCTAGTTGTATTCCTTTCTTCCTCAATCGGACGGCCACCTCTCAGTGCCCTGCCAAGACTCAATTTCCTTATCTCTGATTACCTCTATGCTACGTAGACTAAAACGGTCTAGGCTCTACGGACGTGACGCTGCTTCGCTCCCCACGAGAGCCTGCTAGACTTTTTCACTCTTTATTGGTATAGCCTATTTACGCACTTTAATAGTATGAGTTAATGTGATTTCTGTTTCCATTCCTTCTTCCACTGGATGGCCAGCTCGCCCTACCCTGTCGTGATCATGTCCCACTGATCCGTCTCACTCTTTCTGCCTCCTCAATTGCTACTAAGACTTAAGCAGTATACGCTCCGCACACTAAACAAGATGTTTCCCTTACATCTTGAGCCTGCTAGACTTGTCCACCATTTATTGTTAGTTTTCTTCTCACCTTTACTATATGTCCTTATGCAAACGCGCCGACTAATCCAGTCTTACCCGATCGGCCTCCTGCTCTCCGGATTCATTCAGACTTCTGAGACGTCACCTTTCTTAGTTCGGCTGACTCAACTACCCGATTACATCCTGACCCTAACCTTTATTATCGCGCTCTGTTTTCATTTCTTCTTCAACTGGAGTGCCAGATCTCACTGCTCTGCGGTGATCTAGTCCCACCGACTAGCCTCTTTCTCTCTGACCGCTCCCATGCTACCTAGACTTAAGCGGTATACGCTATGCTATCTCAACGCTATTGTTTCCCTACACAGAGAGACTGCTAGACTCGTTCACCATCTAGCGTTGCGGCCCTTCTTCCTGCCTTTATTGTACGTGCTATTCCTACGCGCCGACTAATCCAGTCTCGCCAGATCGGCCACGTGTTATCCGATTTAACTCAGCGTTCTTCGAGGTTAAAAATCTTGGTTCGACTGACCGAACGTTTTGTTTACATCAACTGGAAAGCCACGTGGGCTCCTACACTTTTTATCGATAAACCCTTCTTAACCCAAACGTACCTTTTTCTCATCCTCCTTTCGGTTTTCATTCCATTTTTGTAATCGGACGGCCGGCTTTAATGCCCTGCCGTAATCTCGTCTCACCAGACTAGTCGGTTTCTCTCTGACTGCTCCCATGCTACCGAGACTTAAACGGTACATGCTTCGCAGAAGTACCTCTGGTACCCCTACTCCAAGGGACTGCTAGACTTGTTCCCTCGTTTTTGTTATAGTCTTTTCTTACCTTCATTTTATGCCCTAGTCCCAAAGCGCCGATTAATTCAGTCCCGCTTAGTCGGCCTCCTAATCAATGAATACATTTGGACTTCTGAGACATCACTTCTCTTGGTTCGGCTGACCTAATGGTTCTGTTTACATTACGTGGAGAGGCTCGTGGGCTTTTCCACTCTTTACCAATAAACCTTCTCATCCAGACCCTAACCTTTTCTTATATCGCTTTCTGTTTTCATTCCTTTTTCAATCGGACGGCCGGCTTTACTGCCCTGCCGTGATCTTGTCTCACCTGACCAGTCTGTTTCTCTCTGCCTGCTCCTATGCTACTGAGACTTAAGCGGTATACGCTCCGCAGACTAAGCAAGATGTTTCCCTTACATCTAGAGCCTGCTAGACTTGCCCACCATTTATTGTTAGCTCTTTTCTCACCTTTAATATATGTCCTTGTGCAAACGCGCTGACTAATCAATTCTTACCCGATCGGCATCCTGCTCTCCGGATTCATTCAGACTTCTGAGACGTCACCTCTCTTAGTTCGGCTGACACCATTATCCCTTTATACTAACTGGACAGCCTCGTGAGCACTTTCTCAACTTTCTTCAATAAACCTTTCTCACCCTGACGCTAACTTATATTTTATCGCGCACTGTTTTCTACTCTTCTTTAACTGGAGTGCCAGATCTCACCGGCATGCGGTGATCTAGTCCCACTGATCAGTTCTTTCTCTCTGGTTGCTCCTATGCTACCCAGACTTAAGCGGTATACGCTATAAGGACTCAACGCTCATATTCCTCTATCCAGGGAGGCTGCTAGACTCGCTCACCCTCTATTGTTGCGGCCCTTTTCCCTGCCTTTATTGTACGTGCTATTTCTACGCGCTGACTAATCCAATCTCGCCGGATCGGCCACTTGTTTTCCGATTTCACTCAGAGTTCTTCGAAGTTACAAGTCTTGGTTCGGCTGACCCAACGTTTTGTTTACATCACCTGGAAAGCCTCGTGGGCTTTTCCACTCTTTACCAATAAACCCTTCTCATCCAGACCCTAACCTTTTCTTATATCGCTTTCTGTTTTCATTCCTTTTTTAATCGGACGGCCGGCTTTACCCAGCTCCAGCTACCTCTGTAATATCTCATTAGCACCCTAGCATAATTTGACTATCTGCGCGTCGCTGTGTCTTAGCCTCTATGCTCTGAACTATCTAACAGCCGTAATGTATGCTTGCGCATCATCCGTTCGCTGTCCTTTCTTCATTAAACCTTTCTTAGCTCTCTTCTGTGGAGCAAACATAACTCAAGTAGTCCGCGCACAACCGCTCCTTTCTAGACGTTCATTTATCTATTACTCGCTACGTCTATGACACCTACTTATACTGAAGTCCAGCTCTCTCACCGGCTTTTCCCGGCACAGGCTTCCTTGCTAGATGCACAGCTGTCACCTACTCATCTGCGACACCTAATTAATTGTAGTTCAGCTCTCTCACTGGCTTCTCCCGGCTCAGGCTTCCTTAGTTATATTCCATTAGTTCCCCAGCATGGGTTGATTATCTGCGCGTCGCTGCGTCTTATCCTCTTATGCTCTGAATTATTTAACAGTCGTATTATATGCTTGCACCCCTTCCGTTCCCTGTCCTTCCAACATGAAACCTTCCTTAGCTCGCTTCTGTGGAACAAACGTAACTCGTGTGTTCTGTGCAGAGCAGCTCCTAACCTCTCCATTCTAGACGTTCAATTATCCATTACTCGCTCCTCGCTAAATGCTCATCTGTCACTTACTCGTCTGTGACACCTAATTAATTGTAGTTCAGCTCCCTCACTGGCTTCTCCCGGCTCAGGCCTCCTTAGTTATATTCCATTAGCACCCCAGCATGATTTGATTAGCTGCGCGTCGATGCGTCTTAGTCTCTTATGCCCTGA